CATGAGGGGATGTCCAATGGTCTACAGGTGGGCTTTGGGTCTCCACTCCGACCCCTCTCCTTCACTTGATACGTTTGTTTCTGATCTTCTGATACCTGATCTCATGAACAACTCATGATCACACAGGCTGGTGTGTTTTTTCCACGTGGCCTTTGTTGCTTTCCTGCTAGATGGCCAATTGTTTAACTTCAAACTTTTAAGACCCCACGCGCTATATATTTTAATAGCTGGGCACCATCTGCTTTCTTCACCGCATTTGCTTATGCACCCATTTTGTGTTCAGCTATCATGTCTGGAAGTTGAGTATCACGCTGTGATCTGGCCATACGTTCAAGATTGTGGCCTCTTTGCGACTGTGGTATATACAACTAGTCACCCACGCATTAAATTCACCGCATGGCAGTGACCCCATGTGTGTCCAAATAAAGGTGTATTCCCCAGGTTTTCAATGGCTGATATTTCAGAAGTTGATTACCAGGACTTTCTTCCGAGTTAGCAATTGCATGCAGTAACAGTTTACCCTACCCAGGGATTCCACGGTGACATGTGACACCCTTCCTGTCTCCCCACCCAATCTCAGAACCAATCAAAAGAGGCCCAAGAATCAGCAAGATGGAAATAAGCACACCTGCTTTGTTACTGCACACTGTTGATGTGAGCCAACAATGCGTGCTGAGTATGACACTGTGGGATTAAGCAATATGACCTCCATAAAAGGCAGCTGGTGCATCGTGCTCTGCCCAAAGAGACAGTTGTCCACAGTCAGAGCCCAACAAGAGCAAAGAGAAAGCTGAGATAGGCTTGCCTGTCTTCTCAGCACCTTGCCAGTCCGGTAAGTCACCCATCCCAGGAAGGAGTAAGTGAGGGAGAGAGGCCAGGAGTGTCACACTAGTGGAAGCTCATCAATGTGGATGCCTAAAGGATGAGGAATAAGCCCTTTTCACCTGATCACTACCTCTACGATGTAGCAAATAAAGCTATGCTATAATTAAGCAAACTAAGTAATTATATGTAGAGAAAATTGAAAGTAAAATTAGCAAGAGCTAACTGAAGACAGTTTCCAAAAACAAATCTGCAAGCAGCAGCTTCCATCTTAGTGTGGAGCTATAGTCGAAGGTTGTCACTCATGATAGTCTCCAGACATTGTTTTTAGAAATCGAAGCTCATTCAAAATTATTCCTGTAATAATGCTATTATTACTCCTCTAATTTCAGATTTTCTTTGAGTAGGAGAGAAAATCCAAAACCAAGCTCACTGTCATGGAGTGAATTCTAGCTTATGGAGACCCTCTAGGCCAGAAGACAACTGCTTGTATGGGTACTGTTTGCAGGAGTTGAAACCCTCTTTTCTCTCTCAAGGAACAGGTGGTGGTTTCCGAACTGCTGACCTGGAGGTTAGCAGCACAACTTGTAACCCACTATGCCACCAGGGCTTCTATGAGTGGGAGAGAAGAGGGAACAATTACAGATGAACCCATTGCCCTGACAACACCTCCAACTCCAATTCATAAATGGCCCCAGAGGACAGAGTAGAACTACCCCACAGGGTGTCCAAGCTTATACGTTTTACAGAAGCAGACCGCCACATCTTTCTCCAGAGAGGCATATGGGTTTCAGCCATTAGCTTTTCAGTTATAAGCCAAGCACTTACCACTGGACCACGAGGGCATTCCAGAAATTACATGTAAGCCCCTCTATCTATGAGGGAATTAATAGTGAAGGACCTCAAATATTAATACTGGTGGCACTTGTTATTGAAGTGCTCTTGAGTCATGATTTCTGTAGCTCTACTTTTTATTTTTCTATTTTACTCAGGGGCAAATTTGATAAAAGAGGCAAGTGGAGATTTTTAAGGGCGTGAAGATCAACATGATAAATGAGCAAGAATGGTCTTACAAACATTTGGGGTTAATAACCAAAGAACAACATATCAAGCAAAACACAGGCAGTATAGTGAGACTTATAAAAAAATGTTAAATGGTGCTAATACCAATTAGACAATGTTGATGAAAATCGTCCACATATCAGAACTCAGACATAAAATAAAGTTGTTTTTTACTCTGCAATTATACATGCTGCTCCTGAGGAATTAAACGTACAGAAAAAAAGGTAGGGTTTAAAAAAAAAAAAACACAAAAACTAAGGTCATGGTTTTAAACATCAGTAGTTCATATGTATTTTACTGTAAATTGATCACTTTGTAGATCTTAAATATCCATTTAATTGTTCATTTGCTTATGAATCAATTCCTGAATGTTTTTTTGAGCATAGCAAGCCCCCTTAAGAGGTTTTGGCCCATTTCCTTTGCATTCCTACCAGCAACACCCGCATTAGCTGGGGTTTTGTCTCAGTCTGTGGCCATGGTATATTATGTTTGCAAATTGTTAAGGAACAGAGCACAAAAGTAAGTATGCCTTCTCTCTGCCTGAAGTCAGCCTCAGTCCTTCTGCAACACTCCTTTTATCTTCTGGTTGACCAAGAAAATAAAAAGTGCCCTTAACAACACATCAATGCCACTGCTAGGTGATTATGACATAAGAAGAGTAGCCTCCAATCAGAAAGAAGCCCAGCAGTCTGATTGTGACCTGCCACTATAAATAGGAGAGCACCCACCACTCATTGCCCTTTCATCTCTCCACGCAGAACTGACCAGGGGAACAACATCTACAATGGCCAAATCCACCATCAAAAACCTCAAGTGCTCCAAAGGACATCTAAGCACAATCTCAGGAAAGAAATCGCTTTTCAGTACCCTTGGCCACAGAAATTACTCCCTCTATGTGAACAGGGTCCTAAAGGAAGTGGTCCCACAGAGGGGCATATCATCTCGCACCTTGGGCATCATGAACACTCTGATCAACGACATCTTCGAGCGCATTGCTACAGAGGCCTGCAACATGATGTATTACAGAAATCGTTGTACCCTCACTCCAGAAGATATCCAGAGGGCAGTGTATTTACTGGTTCCTGGGAAACTAGCGAAGAACGCGGTGGGTTTTGGAAGTGAAGCAGTCAACAGATACGTCCACTCCTAAATCCCATGTGCCAACTTAACGGAATCTGGTGGAAAGTGATTAAACTTACAAACCATCACCTGAAGATTGAATTGTCTTGTTTTTATAACCTTGAGGTATTTCCTGATATTTTTCCACTTCTCTTATTTCTAGAGCTGATTTACTTGCTTGCTATTTTACCTTTTCATTGTTTCACTGTTTAAGTCCACTTCCAGTTCAGACTCCCTCCTGGAACCTTTATTTTTCCTATAGATATGTAAATTTCACTATATAAATTCAATGTTTACTGTGTAGTTAAAGGTATGGTAACCTGTGTACAGGGTGATTTGAGGCAGTTCATTTGACCCAACTTTGACTCTGACTTTATGGAAATAAACATTTTAATCAGGATTGTAATATGTGGAGGAGCCCTGAGGGTTATGGACCACCAGTCACAGAGTCAGCAGTTTAAAACCACCAGTAATCTCCAAGGGAGAAAGATGAGGCTCTCTACCCCTATAAGGAGCTACAGCCTCAGACTCCCACAGGGACACCCTGTCCTGTAGGATGGGTTTGAGTTGGAATTGACTCCATGAGAAGACAAGATACATGAGAGCTTCAAAAAGTGTGTGGAAAATGGAATTGAAAGATAATGACATTTTCCCCATGAACTTTTTGTAGCTCCCTGGAAGCACAATCTGTTTTATTGAAAATGTGTTTCCTCGAGCAAACGCCACTCAGCCAATCCTTACTGAAGGATATCCATAAAGCGTATTGACTATTTCCTTTGATTGCTCTCACTGAATTTCCTGAATTTACTGTCAGCAAGATCATTTCATTTCTCCATGTAATTTTTATCTTCAAGGTTTCATTTCTTTTTCTACATTTACAATCAGAAGAACACCCAGGAACCTGCTACCCAGTTTTTAAAAGGCACCTCACAAATCTCACCGAAAGTCTTTCCCCAAAGCATCTCCCTGACCAATAGCTGAGCTGTTTCTTATTTACTTGCTTTTCTTGGTACTGTGGCTACCCGGACGCCGCCGCTGTGCCTTATAAGACGGAGTAAAACTACCCGACGGGCTTCCAAGACTGCCATGTCTTTCGCCTGCGGGCCTTCAGGCTAATCCAAGCCACCAATGTTTTTGTTCGTACCGAGCACGTAACCACTGTGCTACCATGTGTGTCTCCGGAGCCTTTGCCGTGCTTAGTCCACGATCCGGTGATCGTCGTGCATAGGGCGGTCTAGGCTTGCCCTGTTCGCATTACGCTTGGAGGCATGGTAGTGTGGCTCTAGTATGCTCGTTGCACGGCGTGTGCGCACCAGGGCAATTCTGAGCCACTGCAGCTTTGGTTCCAGAGCACCGCAATAAGGGGAACCGCACCATGATTTTTTTAATATTATTTTTAGCTTCGCAGTGCAAGTTATGTGGAGACACATAGCACAAGCTGTTGGAAAAGTAGCGCCAATAGGCTTGTTTATTGCAGGGTTACACACCCTCCAATTCGCTAAAATGTGCAATAGCTGCAGAGAAGAACCGATCAAACATGCCTAGAGAGTGGTTCGTGCCCCCCCAAGCTTTATCCGGCCTCCGTTGTTAAGGCCGTTGTTAGGGCATTTCGATGGTTTTCAGGTTTGGCTGATTTGACTTGGTGTGGGGTTTTCTTTGCTGTCATAAACAAGGCTGCTGTAATAATGAGAGTGGTGACAGTAGCTAAGATTTAATAGAACGGTTGGAGCGCACCCCGCCCTTTGCATAGATGCATTGATGTAACCATCCCAAGGACCTTTTAAGGGTCAAGTCGGTTTCCCCATCCATGGAGGAGGGACAGGCACCACAGAAGAAAAGGAATAACTCATCTAAGATCACAAGGCCAGGTGAATGGCAGAGGCAGGGTTGCAGCTGGATAGCACAGCCCCTGGGGGCCCACTATGCTACATGCTGTTCATGGCCCCATACATCTCTCTGGATCACACGTGCAAGATTGCTCTCGGAAAAATATTCAAGAGTGGAATATCTGGGTCATTGGTATGCCCACATTCAACTACATAATGCTAGCTTGTCTTCCAAAATGTTGGTGATAATATACACACCCATGAGCAGTGGTTTGAATAATTTAGGCTCTTCTGATAAGTATCATATTACTTAAGGAGCTCTGGTGAAGAAATGGGTTTCTGGTTGGGCTGCCTACCACAAGGTCAGCAGTTCAAACCACAAACCAGGACCAAAATCCGTAAGGGTACTCCCTTTGTCTCTAATTAAGATCCACTCTCTGTTTTCCTTAGATTTTCCCTCTTCTCATTATTTCAGGAAAGAGACCAAATAGGCTCTTCTCATCTAATTCAAGTATGGTTCAGACAGAAGCTGCTGGCCAGCCTGTGTATCCTACAGGGTTACAATGGATCAGAATCAATTAAATGTCTGCACAGAGTTCACAGAGATGGAAAGTTCATAGTTACTTTTTAGAATCAATGGTATAAGAATACTGAATATGGATGTACTCAACAATTGGACAACCAACTACACACACAAAAAGTTGTAAATTGAAGTATTAAATTTGGATGAAGGAAATGACAAATTCTTCTCTATTTTTATGTGTGCTTTGATAGATTTTTAAAGTAATATAATTGTAACATTTCAAAATAAGACCCAGATTCTTGGGAAATATTCTCTAGAATTAGTATGAAGTCTGATGATATAAATGCATGTATGTAAAAATACTTAATTCTTTTATTGCTACACAAATTTATTTGTAACAATTTTTAAAAATACTTTGGAATCAGTTTATGAAATCAGCATAGCTTTTGCAATTTAAATATTGTGGCCTGCTACACATTTGGAAAGGATCAAAATTATGTCAATGCATTTTTCTGTATCAGTAGGACTCGTTTACTAACTCTTCTATTTTTCAGCCTTAGACTCTAGCAACCTGAGACAGTTCAATGTCAAAGACAAAGTAGCAAAGACTGAAAAAGCTATCGCGTCCCTCATACCATGTGCTTTAGTCCTTTATCAAAATTAGGTGTCTGCAGGTAGTTGGGTGTACTTCTGGGTTATCAGTTCTAATGCATTGGTCTTCATATCTATTATGATACCAGTACTAGGTGAAGTAGCAAAGACTGGCAGGAGTTCTTTGACGTGCATCTCTCCGTCCTCATAAATGGAACTCCGACCTTTGACATGTGTGCACGGCCACCCAGAGGAAAGATTAGACTTCCAATCCTTCCTTGGGACCAGCGGCAACCGTGTAACCAAATTCTTTTTTTTAAATCATTTTATTGGGGGCTCATACAACTCTTATCACAATCCATACATTCATGCATTGTGTCAAGCACATTTGTACATGTGTTGCCATCATTTTCAAAACAGCTTCTCTCTACCTGAGCACGTAATATCAGCTTCTCATTTTTTCCCCTCCCTCCCTCACCCTATTATTTTTTCATGTCTTACACTGACCGATGTCTCCCTTCACCCACTTTTCTGGTCCATCCCCTGGGAGGGAGTTATATGTAGACCATTGTGATCAGTGCCATCTTTCCCACCCTCCCACCCCCACCTTCCCCTTACCCTCCTGGTATGGCTACTCTCAATATTGGTCCTGACGGGTGTATCTGACCTGAATTCCCTGTATTGTGTGCTCGTATCTGTACCAGCATACATGCTATGCTCTAGCAGGATTTGTAAAGTAACATTGGGATCATGATAATGAGGGGGGTAGGGGAAGAAGCATTAAAGAACTAGAGGAAAGTTATATGTTTTATTGATGCTGTACTGCACTCTGACTAACTCATCTCCTCCCCGCAACTTTTGTGTAAGGGGATGTCCAATTGTCTACAAATGGGTTTTGGGTCTCCACTCCATACTCCCCCTCATTCACAATGATATGATTTTTTTTTCTGGGTCTTTGATGCCTGATACCTGATCCTATCGACACCTCATGATCACACAGGCTGGTGTGCTTCTTTCATGTGGGCTTTGTTGCTTCTCAACTAGATGGCCACTTGTTTATGTTCAAGCCTTTAAGACCCCAGGCACTATATCTTTTGATAGCCAAGCACCATCAGCTTTCTTCACCACATTTATTTATGCACCCACTTTGTCTTCAGAGATCGTGCTGGGAAGGTGAGCATCAAGGAATGCCAGGTTAGTAGAACAAAGTGTTCTTGCATTGAGGGAGTACTTGAGTAGAGGTCCAATATTCATCTGCTACCTTAATATTAAACCTACCAATACATGTGCATAGACCTATTTCCTCATCATCATCATATATCAATGTATTTACATATGTATATGCCTATATTTAGTCCTCTATAAATGCCCTTTGCTTCCTAGTTCTTTCTTCTATTTCCTTTTACTTTCCTCTTGTCCCACTATCATGTTCAGCCTTCATTTGGGTTTTAGTAATTCCTATAGGTTACATTGCCCTTGATCAAGCTCCACCAGACCTCCTACACCGTCCTCACCATTGATTTTAGATCACCTGTTGTACCCTTGTCCCTGGGTTTGTTAACACCCACTTCCTTTCCCACGCCTCCCTCTCTCCCGTGTCCCCCACAACCGTTGGTCCTGTTTTCTTCTCCATAGTGTTTAACCTGCCTATTTTATCTAGATAGACATGCAGAAATAATAATATGCACAAAAACAAGACAGAGCAAAACAAAGCAACAAAAAACAAAACAAACAAAAAAGCCTGTAAATAGTTCAAGGTCTGTTTGTTGACCTTTAGGAGTGTTTTCTGGTCGAGTCTGATAGGGTGCCATGCACCGGCCCCCAAGTCTATTGTTGGTATTCCCCAGTCTTCATTGTTCTGCTCCTCTTGCTGCTCTGTTGCACGCCCTTAGTGTTTCTCCTCAGTGTGGTGGGGTCAGATGGGGCACAATTCCTGCACTGTGTCTCCAGTGTTGTCCCCCGTAGCACTATGGGTCAGTGAGGGATGTGGTGTCTCATAGTGGAGCTGGCCCTATGGTCCTCTCTGTGCATTGGCTGCTCTGAGCAGGAATATCGTCTTCAGGGCTTGGTGCGCCAGGATGTGCTCTACTCACTTTCCCCCTTCGTTTGCTCCA